AGGTTCAATGTCTTCTTGCTTTATGGTCATTTTGTTTAAATTTTTGATGGGAAAAAAAAAGATTAAAAAAAAAAAAACTTTGTCCGACCTACCGACCCTATGCTGAAATTTATTGTTCCCGGAAACACACTCTTTTTTTTGTTTGGCCTAATTTTCTCTTTTGTCATTCATTGTGCAGGTCATTCAAGCTTGCCGTATGTGATCTTCCATACCAGCTAAGGACCACATAACTACCTCTCCGGTAATGGGAAAGTTATCACATTCATCTTTTCGAAAGGAGAACATTGGCAGAGATTAACTGTAAAAGTTAAGTGTTGCCTATTGATATCATTAACATGAACAGTCTCTTTTATTAATCATAAAATTTCGACAACCGAAGTCAAAACGTGTTGTTTCAGATGTTCATGTCAACCTGGTCGCCCTTCACATTAATCATTGAGCCCTCAGTTTCAAAAAGGTTGCTGAGCCCTGTTCTAAATGCATTCAATAAACTTTGGAGACGTTCGACATTGTGTCTAAAATGTTATTGTGTTTGGTGAGTGGTGGCTGTATGTGGTCTGCTGATTGTGGGGAAGGAAGGGGAAATAAAAGTAGAACAGGTCTCAGTTTCAAGTTGGTGCCAAAAAGGGAGAGAAGATGTTTAAAAAAACACAGTGGTGACACTGTGCAATTACATTTTTTTTGTTAGTTTACGTCCACTCACACAAAGGCGATTAAAGAAAAACAACTGTGACCCGAGAACAAATGAGAAAGACAGTGTATTAGAATTTGGAAGCAACAATGCAAAAATGAATAGTAGAAATAATATAACATACAATGATTATTTAATCGTTGCTGCACAGTCAAATAAGTATGAGCGGGATTACAATAGATGGCAGCGTGGCTTTAGACTGTATAACTTGGAGATGTTCCGAAAAGGCGCCACTACGTTTCTGGAAGTTATTTCTATGTGTTCAGACAAGCGTGCCAAACAGAATATTCAAATGAAAGGAAAGAGCTTGTGGCGGAGGTGCCAAAAGTATTCTCACAAGGTGTACTTCAGCACAAATGCACATACCAAGACTCCAAAAAGTTCAACCTTAGTTTGATCGGACAATAAGAACATTTACCCCACACGTCTGAAAGATTTCAATTGTGTCCATGCAAAATTTTGAAAACAAGATTTAACATTTTATCCATAGTTCCAAAATGTTTGTTTGGTGCAAACACAACACTGCTCATCACCAAAGGAAACCCATACGTACAATGAAACACAGGGGTAACGGTGTCATGCTTTGTACTGTTTGTCTTCAGCTGATGCTGAAGACTTAGTCAAGGTGGAGGCGATTATTTACAGCTCCGGGCGCAGATGTCACTTTGCAAATGGGGGACAGGGACCACAAACAATGTCCTTCACCTGAACATGTCCTTTTATCACCAATGAACATTTTTCACAATTGCTGAGGACATCAGGCCACTGTGCGGGATCATCAGGGATCACTGCTGCTGTGGTTGTTGCTGGAGTGGCTCTATCAAATGCTGCCTGAGCTAAAATGAACCAAATAAACTAACATACTTGTTACAGTTTCCAGCATCGGAACAAAATAAGCCCCGAATTAATAAACACCTAAATATGATACCTGCTTTGGACTTGTGGTTGTCAGTCCTCCTGGTCATGGGAGTCGGACGATGAAGGGCTATTTCTTGCTGCAGTGCTTGACACAGGAGCACTGGAGCAGGTGGCCGTAGTAGGACCCGTAAAAAGTATTTCCCTCGTGCCATGTGACAAGGATTCACAAAGCAACATCATTTTATTATGTGAAAACACATCTGAGCAGAACCATAGGTAAGAAATGTTCACTAACAAGTTGCATTTTCAGGTTTCGAAGAGGGAACTTTTCCAAGAAAGCAACTCAGCGACCCTGAAAAAAAGATAATTACAAGTATAGTTTAGTTATTGATCATCAACTGACACGTTACCCTCTTATATTATTTAAACTGAAACCATTATTGGGCTGTATAAAGAAGTGCAACAAAGGCACAAACATATGCAAGATCATCTATACACAGGGTTGCGAGGCATACTTTAAAAATACATACCGATACAGTGACTAGTTACTTATTAAAAAAATGGCGTGAGTAAAGTTATCCAAGCACCATATTATTAAAGTAATGCAACTTGATTACTTTTCATTCCTTTGGGATTACTCCAATACCAGATATGATCATGACAACTAAAAATATATGTACCGTAATTATTTATTTGGACTTTTTGGTACAATGAATATTTTAATAATTGCTTGGCTTTGCAAGAAAGCCAAGCAAACCAACTTGAAAATATCAATTTTTCAGACCAGGAGTGTCAAACATATGGCCAGCAACATACGGAACCCCCCCCCCCCCCCGCTCCCCAAGGAGGTTCGATCAGGCCCGCAGGATATTTTAAAAGTGAAAAAATGCATAAAAGACACGGAATTAATATTTTTAATACAGTGCAATTCAGTGAGTATCCGCTAGGGGACACATTGTTTTGATCAGAGTAGAAGACAACATTCTTTTGATCAGAGAAGAAGACAACAGCAGCCTCAGTTTCTCACTGAGACAGACCCAACACAGCAGATGCTATCAAAGACATGTGAATACTTTATTCTTTACACATTAAATAGCACTCTCCTTAATTTGTAAGGTGTAGGCAGGGATTAAATTGAGATTTTATATGCACATGTGAGATTTTATATGCACATGTGTAAATGGTTTAAACAATCCTTTCTTTATAAATCTCGTTTAATCTTAAAGTGCATGACTATATTTTTCAATACAGTACTAATTGCATACATGGCAATTTTCCGCGGATCCGCGGAAATCCGCCGTTTTAT